CTGGATTCTTGTTAATGTAGTCTTTGTTCACTTTATAATAAAAAAGAAATAAATAAACAAACAGTTTATTGGACCTGTTTGAATCCACAGCAAAAGCTCTTCAGGTCTCCTTATTTTCCCAGACCTGAAAGGATCCAGTCCAGGTAGACCGCGTCCTTGAAAGACGCAGCCCATGAATTGGAGCCTTTGTGTGCAGGAACCTGCAGAGAACCTACAGGAGAAGCTTCTGGAAGTTTGGGGTTATTGTCTTTATCAGTGAAGGAACTAAATAAACAAACCTGGGTTCTAACTGTTCCTTCTTACGTCGGACCAGCAGCTAAGTTCAGTTTTCAGCTCTGGATTAAAGAACCAACTCTTTCTTTTCTACCGCTGAGGAGAACAGGAACTAAACGGCCAAGAACCATTAAGAGCCAAGAACCATTAAGAGCTTCATGGATCAGAACCTCAGATTCTGCCCTACCCTGTGTTCTCTTCTTGCTGCTAAATGTTTTCTACTGTAACCCAGACCAGTTGGTACTGGTTACAGCTTCAGAATCAGCACTGGTCACGGTACCAGTAATAGTCCTTTCCATGTGACTGGCCTGTTTCTGATAGGTCTCTGGCTACACCTGGTCTGGATCCCTTAGAACTGAGGTTCAGTGTCTCTGTCCAGACCCAGCTGGTAGATCACGGTTCTGACCAGGGTGAAGAACTTCAGCATCAGAACCAGAACCAACAGGCTGCTGTGTATATTAACCTGTCCTGATGTGTCCAGGTGATCGTCATGGGTCTGGACTCTGCAGGAAAGTCCACTTTGTGTGCCAAGCAGCTTACAGGACAGGTGAGTGTCCTGTTAGAACCTTCTGATCTCATCAGATCAGCTTGACCCACAGCTTCCAGGCGTTTTGATGAGACTGTTTGTCCACTCAGATAGTGAACACTTCTCCCACTGTGGGCTTCAATGTGGGAAATCTTGATCTAGATAAGAAGACGTCTCTGACAGTGTGGGATGTTGGAGGACAGAAGAGCATGAGACCCAACTGGAAGTAAGTAAAGAAAACTGCCCCGAACACCTGATCTACAGACCAACTAACTGCAGAGATAACATGTGAGGCTTTTGCAGGTACTACCTGGATGATTGCAAGGCTCTGGTGTTCGTGGTGGATAGCAGTGATGCAGCGCGGATGCCAGAAGCCCACAAGGCTCTGAAGAGCATCCTCAGTGACGAGAGGCTGCGAGGTGTTCCTCTAATGGTTCTAGCAAACAAGAAGGACCTGCCCAACGCCATGAACATACGTGAGGTACGAAAACCACTGTTTGGGTTTTCACAGATCCAACCGAATCAGTGTGTCTAGAAAAACGTCGGTCAGATGGTCATACAGAACCAACCAGATTTAACCAGATTTAACCAACCAAATGCTTAACTGATCCAGCTTATGATGGAAATCAACAAAGTCTGAGAAAACCTGCGATACCTCCTACTGATGGCAGGAGGAATCACCGAGCTGGAGCGATACCTCCTACCGATGGCAGGTGTAATCACCGAGCTGGAGCGATACCTCCTACAGATGGCAGGGG